AAAGTGCTCAACATCCTTAGCCATCAGGGAAATGCAAATCAAAACAACTCTGAGATACCATCTCACTCCTGTTAGAATGACTAAAATCAAAAACACCAAGGACAGTTTATGCTGGAGAGGATGTAGAGAAAGGGGAACACTCCTACACTGCTGGTGGGAATGCCAACTTGTAGAGCCACTTTGGAAATCAGTATGGAGATTCCTCAGGAAAATGGGAACAGTCTACCACAAGATTCAGCAATTCTACTCTCAGGCATATACCCAAAAGATGCACATTCATACTATAGGGACATCTGTTCAACTATGTTCATATCAGTAGTATTTGTAATAGCCAGAACCTGAAAGCAACCTAGATGCCCCTCAACTGAAGAGTGGATAGAGAAAATGTGCATTTACACAATGGAGTACTACTGATCAGAAAAAAAATGGAATCTTGAAATTTGCAGGTAAATGGATGACACTAGAAGAAACCATCCTGAGTGATGTAACCAGTCAGAAAAAGACAAACATGGTATGTACTCACTCATGTATGGATTTTAGAAATTAATCAAGGGATCGCAAGCCTACAATCTAACTACCATAGAGTCTGGGAAACAGGGAGTTACCTAGGAGAGATGTGCATGGTACTCCAGAGAAGGAGAATGGAACAGAATCTCCTGAGGGGGTTGAGAACATGGGGAGGAGGGCAGGGGAGAGAGAGCTGGGAGAAAGAGAGGGGGAGAAGAGGAGGGGAGAGGAGGACATGGGGGAGCAGGAAAGTTGAGTCTGGAGAAGAATAGAGGACAGCAGAGTGAGAGTCATAATAGAAGGAGCCATTATAGGTTTGAGGAGAGATCTGGCACTAGTGAGATGTCCAGAGACCTATAAGGATGACACCAACTGGCAATCTAAGAAATAGTGGGGAGACTACCTTAAATGCCCTCCCCTTATAATGAGATTGATGACTACCTTACATGCCATCCTAGACCCTTCATCTATTGACTGATGGAAGCAGAGGCAGACACCCACAGCTAAACACTGTACTGAGCTCCTGGGACCCACTTGCAGAGAGGGAGGAGTGATGAGCAAAGGTGTCAAGGCCAGGCTGGTAAAACCCACAGAAACAGCTGACCTGAACAAGGGGGAGCTCTTGGACCCAAGACTGATGGCTGAGAGGCCAGCATGGGACTGATCCAGACCTCCTGAATGTGGGTGTCAGTGAGGAGGCTTAGGTAGTCTATGGGGCCTGGGGTAGTAAATCAGTATTTATCTCTGGTGTACAAATGGACTTTGGGAGCCCATTCCACATGGAGAGATGCTCTCTCACCCTGGTCACATTGGGGAGGGCCTAGGCCCTGCCCCAGATGATATGACAGACTTTGGAGATCCCCCAAGGAGGGCCTCACCCTCTTTGGGGACAGAGCATGAATGGGGTGGGATTTTGGGGATTGGTGGGGGTCAGGGGAGAAAGGGAGGGAGAGGAAGCTAGGATTGACATGTGAAGCAAGCTTTCTTCTAATTTAAATTTAGAAATATTATTTCAAGAAAAAAAGAACAATTAAGGTATAGATTGCCTTTTACATGATTTCTTAATTGGGCACAGCAATTTCCAAAAGAAGAAGACAAATAATAAAATGTTTATTTCATTTTAAAAAAAGACCAACAGACCAAATAAATGATTTCATCCAAGTCCCGCTTTCTGAACCACTGACTTTATTAGAATGACTTACCAAAGCATGAGCAACTCCTGAGCAGCAGCATCAACAATGATTCCTTCTCCAGCAGATTGGACTAACAAGCAACTTCCTTCCTGAGGAGTTCCAATCAACCATGCACACCCTATGTACTCCAGAAAGAAAGAAAGAAAAAAGAACCAACCATGTGAGGTGTTGCATGAAACTGGAGGAAAAGAGACTGGTAATCACAATCTCAGGTAAGGGTCTTGTTCTTGTGATGCTTTGCTTCAAGACAGAAGTTTGCTTGCAGGTTTTGTTTCAGTTTCTTGTTTGTTAGATTGTTCACCTTTTCCTGAGATATTCTGCTACAAGCTGTAAGATCACACAGTAATTATACAGCCATCATATCAAGAGATAATTCAGATGAATTAAGGATTCTTCTGATGGATAAACCAATACAAAAGCTGTGCTTGATTTTATAAACTTGCAAATGAATTGGCTGTTTCTTGCTATAAATTCTTCCTGTAGCTTCCTGTAACAAACCTGGGATCTACTTCCCACAGTTTAGCACTATCTGATCACTTACTGGGAACAATTTCTCCCACACATTTGGAATTTACTGATTACACTCCCTAGCTATGTGTAAATGCCTGTTCTCCGTTAAGAGGTCCTAGTTTACTGATTGCATTCTTTAGCTGTGTGTGAGACCTATCAGGTCCTTGTTCCATTGTAATTGCAGAGTTCTGGCTTCCTGCAATTATCCTTATTGACAGACATTTTGTCAGTGTTTAGGGCCCAAGGCAAAAGCATTCCATCTAAGACATTCCCAGATATCCAAGGACATAGAATTACTACATGCCCAAAGTTGTTCATTCATAGTTGCCTAGATGGATAGAAAAAAATAAGCATGCCCTGGTTTTACCACACTGGCAGATAGAGAGGAGATAGCCTAAACTAACCCTTCACTAAAAGATTCTCAAACTTCTTGTTTTATTAACTCAAGATTTTAGATCAGAGATTTACTGATTGTGTTTCCCCCTCAAGAAGATAAAGTCATAGGTAATCAGCCATTTTGTTCATCCTTAAGGAAAAGTAAACTTTCCTGGAGACCCATGCTATCACAGAGCCTGAAGGGAGCCAGGTCCTATTTCTTGTGCAAATTAAAATTAGATTCCTTCCTGGACTGATAGCCCTAAGTAACTGATGCTAAAAGCCTCTCTTATCAGGAAATTATAGCAAAAGCATGACAAATAAGAAGCTAATTGTTTACTTTTCCCCTGTTGTTGACCAGGCTGTCTGGTTATCCAACACTCCCTATGCATGCTAGGAGACAAATATTCCTCAGTAAAAAAGACAATCTTTGCCTATTTTTACTGAATATAAGCTTATCATCTAATCACTTAAAATTGTAGTATAGCACCCTAGCCCCCCCCCTTTAGGATTCCCTGATGATTCCATTTCTTAACTAACCTTCTTTATCCTTAAGGAGTTCAGGGAACATTCACTAGCCTCTCTCACTCTTAACTCCCCCTTTGTGAAGATTCTTATCTGTGTTTTATGGTACAAAAGGATTTCAGTCCTAGATGCCTCTAGCGCTGGGAGATAGCTGGTTGTACAGATATACAAGCTGAAAATTTTTGAGGTAAAAGAATAAAAATAAAGGAACAATCAGAGGAGCAATGAGTGTGAGTCAACTCCTTTTTTTCTCAGATTTTAATTCCTTCACCTATTTGTAGTTCCTAATTTTGAACCCTGAGCAAAAACATTAGAAGCCAGACTAGTAAAGTTTTTGGTAATATTCTGACTCTTTAGCCCGGACTGGGATAGAACCATGTAGCCCAGGTTGGCCTAAGCCTTTGGAAATCCTCCTTCCTTATTTCTTTCCATTTATTCTTCTCTCATGCATTACCTCCTGACCACAGTTTTCCCTCCCTTCACTCATCCCATGCCCCCCCAGCCTCCCTTCTCCCCCATATCCATTCTTCCTCTATTTATCTTCAGAAGAGAGCAGGCCTCCAAGAGATATTAACCAAACATGGCGTGAAAAATTCCCATAAATCTGAGCACACACTCTTTCGTCAAGTCCGATGACGGAACCCATAGGAGGAAACGGTCCCAAAATCAGGCAAAAAGTCAGACAAGCATCACTCCTGCTGTTAGGAATCCCGCAAGAACACCAACCTATATGACCATAGCATATGCAGAGGACCTAGCTCAGGCCCATACAGGCTTCCTGATTGTCACTTCAGTCTCTGCGAGCCTCTAAGAACCTTCGCAGTTCATTCTGTGGTCAGTGTTCTTGTTCCCCTTGTCTTATTAATGCTGGGAATATAGGTGTAAATCACTACTCTTGGCTCTTGTTTTCACTTCCATGAACATGTTTACCACTGTAATATGACAAATATTTAGTTCCTGTGACCGTGAACCAAGGTATTGTGTAAGGCAATTCTGCTTGATGATGGTGAAGGTCACCTGGAGAAAACAGTTCTCCTTCAACACTGGGAAATACTGGGTTAAGTTTTTAGTTATTATTCTACAAACATTACATCACTCTCTTAAAAACACATCATGATAGGACACAAAAAGCTGAACATACATAGACAATAAGAAAGAACATGCCAGGGTGTCATGGGTTCTTAGTCTTAGCAATGTTGAATGTTCCGTGACTATATTAGAGTAAATTCACACAAGTCTTCTTAGACACCAAAGTTGAGCAGATTCCTGAATATATATATGATCTAATTGACTGTATTGACCCAGGACAAATTTCTGGATGTAATATAAAAGAGTAATTGAGATCTCATATCTTACTATTGAACCATAATATACCACTATAGGCCATGACTTTTCAAAGTAACAGAAATCAAAGCATTAGAATACCAAGAAATTGTGACACAAAGGCACTAATGAAACCCTGCCTTTCTTACCAGGTTTCTTCATGATTCAAACTCTGACTTTTGAGTTTGATCTAAAATTTAGTAAGTGGCTATTAGTGATTTCCTTTAACAAAATCAAGCTATTTCTGAGTCATCCTAAAAATTTTAGCATGATCATTCTCACCTGATCAGTATCACAGAATAATCAATGATCATGGCCTGGTCTTTATTACACTACATCATGATATTTATAAGACAAGGCTGATAGAATCTAGGGTCAGGGACTAAATCAGAATTCTTGTCAAGAGAGATAGCCTTTTAATTTAATAGTTTTCAGTCTTGTACATGTTTCTCAACTTCATATTTCCCAAATACCTATAGAAAGAATAATTCATTATGATATGGCCATTTGTAACAAGGAAATTATGACCCTACTGGTCCTAAAAATTATGTGTTCCATGGAATCAAATCAATTGTTGGTTTTAATTGGCATGATGTCTGTTTCAAAGACATCTCTATCCAAGTGCCATGGACTTTGTAGTGTTACAGTCATGTGCACATGACTGCAGATAATAGTAACTGACATGTAATTGTGTTGAAATCTTATCTGAGACCTTGGCTGCAGATGGTCTTTTTCTGCAGCCTCTTCATAGAATCTTTGATTTCCTTGTTTCTCAGACTATATATCAAAGGATTCAACATGGGAATCACCACAGTGTAGAAGACAGATGCAAATCTGTCAAAGCTGGAGGAGCCACCAGAGCTGGAACGCAAATAGACAAAGATACCAGAAATATAAAAGAGGGAAACAGCTGTCAGGTGAGAAGCACAGGTGTTAAATGCCTTAGACCTGCCCTTAGCTGAAGTGATCTTCATGATGGACAAGACGATAAAGCCATAGGATATCACGATGGATAAAGCATTTGTAAGCCCAAAAAACATTGTTAATATGACAAGCAGAACCTGGGCAAAGAAAGTGTCAGTGCAGGATAGATTTAACAGCTGGGGCATGTCACAGAAGAAATGTCTGATGACATTAGATCCACAGAAGTGGAGCTGCAGCAAGACACATATCTGAGATAATGAACTTATGAGTCCTGCTGTGTAGCTTCCCATCACCATGCAAACACAGAGGGTGGGTGACATGATTGATGAATAGAGCAGTGGGTTACAAATGGCAGCATACCTGTCGTAGGCCATGGCTGTCATGATGCAAGATTCACTCAGCCCCATAGTGGAAAAGACAAAGTATTGAACTATGCAGCCCACAAAGCTGATAGTTTGCTTTTCCTGGAAGAAGTTGGAAAGCATCTTTGGGACTGTAGAGGAGATATAACAGAGGTCTACAAAGGACAGATTGCTGAGGAAGAAATACATGGGTGTGTGGAGGTGGGAATCCATCCGTATTAAAACAAGAAGGGACAGGTTCCAGGTCAGCGTTGTAATGTAAAGTGTGAGGAACATTACAAAGAGCAGTGCTATGACTTGGGGGAAATCTGAGAAACCCAGGAGGATGAACTGGGTGATCTCGGTAATATTTCTTCCCACAATCATTACCTTGTTGCTCCTGTCCCTAAAATAATAAAGAAAATACAACAATGAATTGCAGAGTCAAAAGACATTGCAGCATTGTTGTAGAGAAATTTTAAACTTGAATCACAACTTCTTAAAATAATGCCTAAGCAATGATGTAATCACATAAACCGAACATGTACACACATAAACAAATAAGTATATACTCAAACCCATGTATACACATGGGTGAGTTCACACACACACACAGAGAGAGAGAGAGAGAGAGAGAGAGAGAGAGAGAGAGAGAGACTAGGATCATACTGTCATGATTTGTAATTCTGACACATTTTTGTGAAGCAATAAACTATGTTCCTAGTGAAGTTATGAAATCAGTATTCCTATGAAGGTGTAATATGAAGAATTCCAAAGTAAATTTTAAGGTTTACTTTCCTGACATTAGTTTAAAGTTCTATTTATGTTAAGATTATTTGTCCTATTTATAATAATTTCCACAAATTTGTTTAACACAGTACCTCCAAACTGGCCTGGATCATAATGTCATGATATGCAACTTTGATGGATTTTGGTGGCACAAAAGCTTACATTCCCAGTAAAGTATAAAATTGGTCTTCTTATGGAAGTGTCCTATGAAGGACTGCAGAAGGAGGTGTGTGGTGCTGTCTCATTTATATGCTTCCTCTAGAAAACAGGACAGTCAGGAAGATGTTATTGATTTGTCAATTCAGTCCTGATTCCATTGTTCTATATTCAACATTCCCAGTGGCTTCAACATATTGACCTTGAGCACTTACTGTAAAAAGAGGACACCAGAAGTCCTTAACTAGAAAGTCAATGAGATGCTACAGTGATTCATGCACAGGCTCAGCCTGCACTCAGGTGCTCAGAGACTGTTCATCAGATTCTGATTGCTATGATCTCTGATTGCAGACAATCATGACTTGAGAGCTACACCTTGGGAGAGTCGTGCCAGTTCTCCAAATCGCTGAGATGTCTTCAGCCCTGTAGACAGTGAGAAACAATGACTCCAAGCAGCTGTAGATTCAGTACAAGCATCCCTGTAGAGCAAACCACCCAGGGACATTGATATCAACTGAAAAACTGTATTCTTCGGCCTTTGCTTGAATTTGAGGACATGGGATCCAGGGACAGATATAAATTGAAGGTCCTTGACCCTTGACACAGAAAAGCCTCAAAGCAGGTATTTTCTTTCTGAAATACTCTAGAAATATTTTTGTACTGACAACTGAAAAGTTAGAGGTCTGTTTCATAAGGAATAGCACTTATTATCTGTATTCCATAAAAAAATGTTGTCCTTGAGGAGAGAGAGCCAGCCAGTGATAACACCTATGAAAGATTTTGGAAAGATGAGCATGAAAATGAATCAACACTTACAGGAGTACAACAATACTGTTAACATCTATGGCTCATTATTCTCACAATGACATATATGTGCCAAAAAAACCCAAATAGATATTTCTGAAACAAATTGATTGATAAGAATTTTCAAATGACAAAGTTAGTAACTTAAATTGGTGTAGAAAGCCACAGAGAAACCCTGTCTCGAAAAAAAATAAGTATTCCTATGAATATACACATAATAACACAGGTTGAGAGGACCTGACATTCACCTACTGGCTGCGTATCCCTTTATCATGTTAACACAGTTCTGACTCAGTAGTCTCATATATCAATGGAGATGATGAAAGTGGCCATTCTCTAGCACTGTTCTTGATACTGAATGACATAAGCGGCCTACACACAGAGCTCCGTTAGCAATTGTTCTTCCTGCCATCCCCTTCTGTAAAATGCAAGGACTGAACAAAGATGATATATCAAGGACCTTTGGACATAGTTCCTACAAAAATTGTCTGAGACAGATTTCAATAATGGTTTTGAGAAATAGTTATTAGAATATCTACTCATATTATTTTTGGAATTCCCACTCAGTCAGATTGCAGATTCTTATTGCTGCATTTGTTTTCCTCCACAAAGTGTGGTCTAGAAGACAGTGCTGTCCATGAAGGACTGGAGGAGATTTTCTCCTTAGTGTTGTGTTCACTGACATTTGTATCTACCCAAAAGCATAGATTGAATGTGTTATCAACTGGTCCTACTCAACTTTGCATTTGAAATTCAAAATTTTAACTGTTGCTTATTTTCCAAAATGGTTTTATAAGGTTGACTATATTTCTGTTTAGCCTTAGAATAAACAATGGTGTTTTTCAGTTCATCCAAGTTGTGTTAAGTTTAATAAAAACATTTTGAAATTATAAACTCTCATGGATAACACTCTGAAACATCTATTTAATTGGTAAATTCTATAAAAGTGATCGAAATGTTTGAAAATATTTCACTGCATTCTGGTGATATAGGTAGGCACACTTAGGTATATTCTATACAACCACTATTCCAGTAAAGACTGAAAAATTATGGACCATTATTCTTTCTCTTAATATTTTTTCCAGATGAATTTTTAAGTGCAGTAACTGAGGAAAAACAATCATACTCACTCTTTTTGTTAGTGTTCTGTATGTGTTCAGCATCTCCCAAGACAGTTTAAAGTGGAAAAGCTGTTAGAGATTCTCCTGGATAGAAACTGATAAGAACATGGCTGGTTTAATGAAATGTTCTGGGAATAGTAAGTTAAATACATGTTGCCTAGTGAGAAAAGTGTGAGTAAAGATGGTAAAATGGACATTTAGACCAAAACTACCTGTGTCTGCACTGCTAAGGCTAGCATCTCCTGAACCCCAGAGTTTTTGAAGATTGTGAACAAGTCTGGTGAAATTGTGCATGAGTGTTCTGTCATGTCATAATACTTGGTTTGTCTCATACAACTAGAAGTTATGAGCCAAAGCTATGCATCTAAATAGAATATGATTCCTATTAGCTCAAAGATATTACCCCAATCAACAAAAAGGCATCAAAAAGAGTCCCAGGGAAGGTGGAAAGTTGAGATACATGAACAAGAATGCTTTGTTCTTAGGGAATCTGAGACTCAGTCAATTCTTATTTTTTTATTTAGATCTCAGTTTCTGGCTTTTAAAATAAGCTAATCTTTATAAATAATCTCATTTGGCCCTAACCACCCTCATTATCTCCATTGTTATAGGTAGAAAATGGAAAGTTGCAGATTTTAAGGAAAATACTTTATAATTAAACAGCCACCTCTCAACCCAGACACATACCTGATATTTTAAACATGGGATATATTCTTTTCTCTGAACAGCTTATAATTTGACTAAGTACAAAAAGAAACTAATGAAAAATATACAGGATGAGGAAGTGAAGAGAGTGGCTAGGAAAACAGGAAAGTCTAATCCCATGAATCTCATTAGACTGTGGAGTCCTCCTGGAAAAATGATGGATCTCAAGATAGCAGATTCTAACTGCAAGTCTTACCCTCTGACCTTCACAAAGACTACAGGAAGACAGAATTCTTGCCAAATGTTGACACTGCCAATATTCCAAATACTTTTCCAGGAGAGGCACTAGTATATTCCTAATGAATGTTTTTGGCCTTTAACCTGATGGTCTACTAGTAACTAGTAAGAGAGCAACACTGGGGAATCCTCTTAAATATGCTGTTGTTGAGCCAGAGTGGAGGGGAAAAGCCAATTATAGAGCACACTACAGATACTTGCTCTCTGGCATCATGGTTGTCATGGAGATTTTTCTAATAATTACAGACCCAGTTTGCCATGTGCATCAAATCTTACCTTCCCCTGTGATCTATTATGACACCACATTGTAACTTTACTGACCTTGGAGGCATTTTGTCTCCAAAGGCCACAGTGATCTTCTAGTCCCCAAATCTTAATTTGTAGGAGACAAATTTGAGTTCAGAGATATTAAGGAATTCCCAAGATAGCACAACAGGCTGATAATACAGCTTGATATTGATAAATATATATGCATTCAATATAAAAAGCACTTTTATATAGATATATACACATTTTCTCAAATGTCTGTTGTGAGCCAATCAATACAGTAGCTCTAATAGACCTGTGGCATACTCAGTGCCTAAGCGAAGAAGTCCAGGCAATAATTTATCTACCAGTTCATGACAAGAAACTGAAATTCAGGACAGAGAATGTGCTATCCTGATCACTGTCTTGGGTATTGGTATCATAAAGTAAAATCTGCATTGAGAACTGGCAATTCAGTGAGGGTGCTTTTATCAAGTTTATGACCTGAGTTTTGGGTGCACATGGTGGGAAAAGAGAACTGACACTCAATGTTAGCCTTCTGTCCTACTCACAAATACACACTCACACATACACACACACACACACACACACACACACACACACACACACACACACCATTGAGAAAGGAAGGACAGAAAGATTCTGAAAAGCCAGAGGATACAAAGGACAATTTTAAAACAGTGTTGTCTGGAAATGACAGGACCATTGCTTTTATGATCTTGTAGCAGCTATGGTTACCTGCACAGACAAAACTAGTCAAATTCCAGCATAGATGGGGAGGATCAAAGGAGTCCACCACTAGCTGAAGAGCTAAGTAGCAGAAGGCAACTGAGGTAGCAAAACTCAATTTCCTTCAAGGAAGTGATCCCTGATAGGTTGTCCACGCTTGGACCCACAACCATATTTGTGTAAATATCACTGAATAGGATCACTGAAAAAGACAAAACGAGAATGAACAGAGACAGATTCATGGGGTAAGGTCTGAGAGAACTGGAGCCAGTGGTTGGTATGATCAAGATTTATTGTAAACATTGTGAAACTCTCAAGTAATGAAAAGGAAAGACATGCAGGAAATCTGGAGGAAGGAAAAGTAAGGAAGAAATAATTTAATTATATTATAATCTCAAAAGTAAGAATATCTAATGAGTCTCTGAAGACAACATGGAAATGTAATGACACAGTTACAAACCATTTTGTCCAAATCTAAGCTGGATGCTAAACCAGCGCCATGATGTCTACACATCATGGTCCTGTATTAAACCAGAGACAAAGAACCACAAACTTGGGTCTGACATGAGAGTACTTGCCTAAAATG